GGGGGGGGGGGGGAGCAGCACAGGGGAGGAAACCAAAACTCCCATTTTCTTTATTAAAAATGACTTCTCATAGGGGATGGGTGCATACATTCTTTTTTAAAAAATCTCTTTAATAAGTTTTCTTAATTTGAAGTGTATAGAAATCAAATAAATTGTAAATTTATATATTATGTGAATGTAGTAGCTATTGGGAGTCAGTTTTTAATAAATTGTTTTTAAATTGAACATAAAATGTTTTAAAAAATATTTTTGATGAAAATATTTGGGTTTTTATTAGGAAATGTTTACTAGAAATAGAACTTTTCTATGTTGTTCAATGAAAACTCAGTTTTTCCATCAGAAAAAAAATACATTTCTTAAAGCTTTCCAGCCATACCAATAATCCATTTGATTGTGTGCATAGTAAACTATTAGAACCTTTTTTCAAGTGGATTAAACACCAGTCATGGACCAAGAAAACACTGTATTATTATTTATTTCTATGATCCTGGCTGCCTGTCCATCAGTGCCAGTTTGTTCTAAAATTAAACACTGTGCATATAGCTCCTGAAATACATAATTTGCTCCCATTGATGTCATTTTGCAGTTGCTTCTGGATGCAGTAAAGTGCCAGGGAGGTGACCATTACAAGATGGTGCAGCTCGATTTCTTCACATCCCATCTACTCCTCCCCTTTTGCACCAAGTATGCTAGCATCCCGCCTCATCAGCATTGGTACAACCAATGAACCAACCATTGGTTCTACAGCTAATGATCCTCCATGCTGCAACACAACTGGTTTTAGTCTTTATACTGGACTATTCATAAGTTATAATAATATGCAATTGAAGCAGTTCTTCAGAGAAAATAAGATTGAGTGTAGATATCCATGACCGTTTATGAGAGCATAGAAATTCTCATTTTTACTTAAAAGAGAATGAATATATATATAAATTAATCTGATATACACTTCAACCTGGTAAATAGAATCCAGAATTGTATTAAATCATAAATAGGATGGTATTTATATGAAAAAACTACCTGGCTCTCCTCCTTTTGTAAATCAAACTTTTGTTTTCTCTTCTTCCAAGTTTGAATCCTAAATAGGGAACTGAAATGAGTCTGCAGTGAGTTTAGTGATATTTGCTCTGTTTTAGCGTCGCTGATACCTAGGACAAGAGGACCATTAAATACTTCAGTAGAGTTGAGTTTTTGTACAAGTTGAAGGCTGAGAGGGGAAATTTAATGAAACTTAAAATGGATCATTTAGTTGGGAGGGAATCTCTTTATTTTTGTCTAATACTTGTCATTTTCAATGATTAAGTATTAAAACACTTGTTACCAAACTTAAGATTTCTCCCAAATTGTTTGTCAGTTTAAAGTCACAATTCCTTGAGATAGTATAGTTCACACTTTGTCCAAACCCCAGGCTTTTTTCATTCTTTAGTACACCTTACAAAGTGTTAAACAAATTTTTAGAAAATAAATAATGCCAACTTTCTTGGAAGATTCATCTGCACGCTGGGTTTGTAACACCAGAATCCTTAACAGTCAGTATGATTTCCAATGAGAATTGGTTCTTTGGGATGAATTCACTATGTAAAAGATTTATCAAAGTCCAGTTGGTAACACCCTTCAACAAGTCACAAAATATATTGCTAGCTGCTTGTTACTTTTGAAAAGCTTTATCAGAATACAACTAAGATTACACTCCGTATACATTTTTCTTTGCAATTATTACATGCCCTCTCCACAAGTTTACTTTTTAATAAGTAACTTTTTGTATATGAAATAGAAATGACATAACCACTTTAACAATGCAAGTTTCTTTCACTGCTTGGAGTACTATATTTTAATATATTCTTTGGGTGGATATTTAATACATCAGGCCTGTTGGTTTTGAAGCCTAATACATAATGTGAATGCTGTCTGGTATGCATCACTGCAGTATATTCTTGCCAAGATTTTTTTTTTCCTTCAGTGCAAGGCAATTGTTATCATTCGAGAATTCCATTTAATCGTCATTTAATTTGGTTTTGTCACAAGACAGAACACAGAAGGTATTGCTTGTATTTGCTTCATCTTGTAGAAACTTTTCTGCCAGAACTATGAGGAGTTTTGGCTTGTTTTCTGCCGTGAAATATTTTTCTTCTCTAATGGAAGTCCATTCCCTTATTAATTGATAAAAATTTATTAATTGAGGCTGGTGTTTGACAGCAACTGGGCACTTGAACAGAATAGAACTCATTTGCAAATACAAAAAAAATGAGGTCAACAGCAGTGTGGGGTTTTAGAGTAAGAATAAAGATCACACTTCTGTGTTTCCCTGAAAATTAAAATGCAAAGCTGCTTTTCAGATGGTGCAGAACAGTTATCTTTTCACAGTTTTGATTATATTTGACTACATTAGGTAGTGTGTATTTCCTGTTATTGAAACAGTTAGAAAAGATGGGATTCAGAATAGTTGCATGTTATTTCTGCAGTACGTTATTGTGATGTCGGAGCTACTCTCTAGGAAGCTGTCACCAGGCAAATGTTTTGTTAAAATCCACTTGCATTCCATTTTACTGAAACAGGTTATTTTGAATTGCATTTAGATTTTTTAATAGTGGATATTATGTTATTTTGTGTTCTTTGTTACCTCAAATGCAGAATGATAAAATAATTATAAATCTACTTTATCTGTTTAAAATAAATCATAGAATAATTCACCCTTGCTAAGTTGTCAGAAATATTTATCAGCTGAGCAGCAGACAAATTACTGCCACACCTCCTAACTAAATGTAGGTTTGTGAGTGTGATGAGGAGAAAAAACTGCTGTTGCTTTGGGGATGGCATGAATACCATCAACTGG